GAGAAGGGGGGCCAGGTATTAGTTGTAGAGGTAGAGAGGAGTTAGAGAGGGAGGTCGAAAGAGAGAAGGAAGTAAACAGTAGCCTCAGGTCCTTAGGAGACAGTGAGAATATGTTACCTGAGGGGGAGGAGAATGAATGGTTGAAAGGAAGGGATACTGAGACTAGGTTAGGGTACAACAAGGAGGAAGAAGGCACAGATGGGGACACGGGCCAGGGAGATAAAATGAAAGAACCGGAGAAAAAAGAGTTGGCAAGTGAGGATTCTGTGGCATTTTTTGTACAGAAACTGGGGTGTAAACTGAAGGACCCAAATAAGCTTAAAGCATTCCTGGAGAAAAAGAGAGAAGAAGTCAAGGCCGAGAGGAGGAGAATGAGGCTGGAAGCAAGGTGAAGGAAGGGGCAAGTGACAAAGGCATTAGAACTAGAGGGGCTAGGAGGGGAGGAAGTAGGTGAGGGAAAAGGAGCGAGGGGTGGACATAAAAAGAGTAATGAAAATTATAAGTTGGAATGTGAGAGGACTGGGTAGTGCAAGGAAAAGAGCAGTAATAAAAGGAGTCATCTGGAAAATGGACCCCGATGTGGTACTATTACAGGAAACGAAAAGAGCAAAATTTGATACCAAATGGGCAAAGAGTGTGTGGAGGAGTAGGGGGATTAGTTGGGTGGTCCCACCATCTTGGGGATCAGCAAGGGGGGTGGTGACTTTGTGGAAAAATGAGGTAGTGGAAGGCCTAGAGGAATTGGTAGGACAATTCACAGTCTCATTGAAATTTAGGCAAGTGGAAGATGGTTTTGAATCGGTATTAACCAATGTGTACGGGCCAAATGACTACAGAGAAAGAAGATTATTATGGGAGGAGTTGGCAGACATAAGGGGTTTGTGGGAAGGTCCATGGTGCCTAGGAGGTGATTTTAATGTAATAAGATTCCTAGGAGAAACAAATAGTTCTAGGTAGAGGAGCACCACAAGTATGAGGAGGTTTAACCAATTCATAGAAGCCTTTGAATTAAAAGAAATTCCACTGTCACAGAGGTGCTATACTTGGTCCAATCTCCAAACCAATCCAATTTGCTCTAAGTTGGATAGATTCCTATTTACAAACGACCTGGAAGAACATTGGGGGAATCTGAACTCTAGAGCACTCCCAAGGGTGACTTCTGACCATTGGTCTATTGTACTTTGTAAGGAGGTGTGTAGTGCAGGCCCAGCTCCATTTAGATTTGAGAACATGTGGTTAGAGCATCTGGGGTTCATTAGGAAGGTTGAAGAGTTGTGGGTAGAGAGCAATCCAGCAGGGGTGTGGTATGGAATGAGGTTTCATAAGAAGCTCCAGTATTTGAAAGGGAGAATCAAGGAATGGAATCTACTAGAATTTGGGAGATTGGAGGAAAGGAAACAGAATGCGATCACACAAATTGCGGACTTGGACAATAAAAAAGGGAGGGAAGGCCTAACTGAAGAGGACAAGGAACATAGGTGGAGCTTGAGGAAACAGTTAGAAGATTATATGCTTTAGGAGGAAATAAGTTGGAGGCAGAAGTCAAGATGCAAGTGGTTAACAGAGGGGAACAGGAACACTAAATTCTTTCATGCCTTGGCTTGTGGCAGAAGGAAGAAGAATTCTATTACTAGATTGGAAATTGAAGGGAACAACATCACAAGCTAGAGAGAAATAACGGGAGCATTTGCAGATCATTTTAGGAGCTAATATAGAAGGCCACTGAATAATAGGGTATGGTCGGAGGGCTTGGATTGGCCAACACTAAAGAGAGAAGAGAGGGATTAGTTGGAGAAGAAATTTGAGTTGGAAGAAATAAAAGAGGTGGTATTTTCGATGGATAGATCAAAGGCACCGGGCCCAGATGGTTTTACGATGGCTTTCTATCAGGATTGCTGGGAGATCTTAAAGGAGGACATACTGTTGGTATTTGATGAATTCCATACCAGAGGAGTCATTAACCCGGGACTAAACTCCACATTCATTGCTTTAGTTCCCAAGAAAAGTGAGGCAAGCCACCCAAAGGACTACAGACCGATTAGTCTACTTAACAACCTTTATAAGATCATCACGAAGGTGCTGTCAATTAGAATCAGAAAGGTTCTACCATCTATCATCTCGAACAATCAAGGAGCTTTTGTGAGGGGGAGACAAATAATAGATCAGATACTGGTAGAAAATGAGAGTTTAGAGGATTACAAGAGATCTAGAAGAAGAGGAGTGGTCCGCAAACTAGATCTAGAAAAGGCTTATGATATGGTTGATTGGTCCTTTCTATTGGAGGTGATGATGAATTTTGGGTTTGGAGATATCTGGTGCAAATGGGTGATGGAATGCATTAAGGATTGTCACTATTCTATCTTGGTGAATGGGGCAGTGGTCGACTATTTCCCAACTTTGAGGGGGATCAAACAAGAGGGTGGAGAGTTGGGACAGTGATCCTCTATCCCCCTTTTTGTTCACATTGGTAGCCGAAGTGCTGGGGGTTTGATATCTAAAGCAGACTCCAGGGAGCTTATAAGAGGGTGGAGAGTTGGAAGGGATAATGTACCACTTACACATCTACAATTTGCTGATGATACGATTCTGTTTTGCGAAGGTGGGGATGTCAATTGGATTAAAAATTTGAAACTCTCTATACAACTCTTTGAACAGATGTCAAATCTTAGGGTGAATTTTGAAAAGAGTTGTATAGTTGGAGTCAATATGGGGGAAGGGGAGATGGGGGAGTTTGCAGATATTTTGGGATGTGCAGTGTCTAATTGGCCGTTAAACTACCTGGGCCTACCTTTGGGAGATAATCCTCAGAGAGATGATTTCTAGGCCCTTGTTGTGGAGAGATTTGAAAAGAGACTGGCTAACTGGAAAAGAAATTATTTGTCCCTTGGAGGGAGAATCACCCTAATTAGGTCTACATTGGCTAACCTTCCTGTATATTTTCTGTCAGTTTTTAGGATGCGGGTGAAGGTGGCTAATAGGTTGGAAAAGCTAATGAGGGATTTTTTGTGGGAGATGGGGGAGGAGAAGAGGGACCATAGGGTCAAATGGGAGGTGGTTTGTAGAGCTAAAGAGGAGGGAGGGTTGGGTATTGGTAATATTAGGACTAGGAACCTGGCACTACTAGGAAAATGGTTATGGAGATTCTCACTGGAGAAAGATAGGTTGTGAGTTAAGGTGGTGGGAAGTATACATGGACTGGCCGATAATGGTTGGGATTCAGGAATTCTAGCAAGGGCCACAAGAGCTTCCCCTTGGAGAGCCATTCAAGCTATCTTGCCTTTATTCTCTCCATGGATCAGGTATGACTTGCATTCTGGTACCCTTATCAAATCCTGGGAACAAGTCTGGGTTGGGGACTTCCCTCTGAAAGATCAATTTCCAGGCCTTTTTGCTTTGTCCTCCCTCAAGAATGAACCAATTTCTTCCTTTATTGCTCCTTCTAATTCACCCTCTGGGTTTGGTTGGAACCTAAGCTTGAGAAGAGGTGTTAGGGACACAGAGATTGCCTGTACCATAGCCTTACTTTCTATCCTTGAAGGG